CTCTAAGAAGAAAATGACAGCTAACATATCTTAGCTGGTTTCTAAAACCACAGGAAAAAACATCTTATTTCTGTTTTATCCTGCCTTTTACTCCCACTCTGACCAAATTCCCTTTTGACTATTGACTCAAATTGTTTATCTGGGTCTTGGCCTGACCTTTTGGTTTTAGGGGCATCATTACAGCTCCTTTTCTCTCTCTCTCTCTCTCTTTAAAGCTTTTTTGAGGGGGCGGGCGGTGGGTAGAGGATAGAGGTGATACTGAGGGAAACCTAGAGGAAGAATTACAAAGTCACCAGTATTTCAATGCCAGTATGCCACTGTGTACTATATTGTCTATCATGGAAGAAAGAGAAATTATTATTTTGGGTTTTAACTTTGCTTGCTGTGTTTGCTAAGTCATCTGATCCATTTGAAAAGCAAATATTCATTTTTTTAAAAAATCACATTGTACTTTCTACAAAGGCGTGTTTTGCTGACATGGAAAGAACTGAATGGACATTTAACCTTTTCCGTGTAATTGTTAGTCACATTATCCGATATTTCTCAGTAACAGTAAAGAAATACTCTAGAATCATAATTTAGCTGTGATAAAGGATACAATTTTCTTCCATCAGTCCATTTATGATAGAAAACCATGCCTACTACGTGACTCCAATTATGCTATTCGTGACTGGTGAAACAGTGTAGAAAATACTTAACAGTCATCACATGTGAAGAAAGAACTGAGATAACGTCTTTGTTATTTATTTGCTCATTATATGAGAGAGACAGATAAACAGGAATCTCCAACAGGGTCTTCACCTGCAATCTCCCCCTCCAGTCTCACCCAGCCCAGATGATGGACACACCTGTGCCTAGTATCTGTATTGGTGATATACTTCTTGACTGTTTGTATGCCCTCTTTTGAGAAATATCTATTTGAGTCCTTAGACCATTTTAAAATCAAATTGATTGTTTTCTAACTATTGAATTGAGTTCCTTATACATTTTGTATATTAACCCTATATCAGATATATGGTTTGCAATTATATTCTCTCATTCTGTAGGTTATATTTTCATTCTGTTCATTGTTTCCTTTGTTATACAAAACCTTTTTAGGTTTTTTATTTTTTATTTCCCAGAGTGGGGAAAAGGGAGGAGACAAAGAAACAGCACTCCAACAGAATCCTGTTTCTGCCATCTACTCCCAGTCTCCAGTCTGCCTCAGGTCATGACAAACACAGGCCAGCACACTCAGGGAGGTCTCCAGACAAAAACCCAGAACCTTGCCATGTGGCTCAGCCTCACACGGCATTACATTTTACCATTGTGCCATCATCCAGCTCCTACTTCACGGCATTACATTTTACCATTGTGCCATCATTCAGCTCCTACTTTTCCTTTCTTTTCTTTCTTCCTTTTCTTGTCTTTCCTTTTTTTTTTTTTTTTGCATTAAATTCTTACAGGAAGAGGCAGGTAAAATTACAAAAAGATTTTTTAAAATGTTATGGAACAGCAAAAGGTGAGGGATTAAGAAAAGAAACAAGGAGAGAGAAAGAAAGCAGAAAGTGAAACCCTTCATGGAGAGACAAGGCAACACTACCAACTGCTGCAGAGGCCAGCAGATGACACCTGTTTCTTGGTTTGCCTCACAAGTAACCAGAGTCAATCCCCGAAACAGGCCCCAAGATACCACCAGCTTCTTCCTGAGGTGAGATTTTGCTCATTTAAAGACAGACACATTGGCATGATGCAAGGCACCCCCAACATTGCGCTCACACTTGGTACACTTATGTCTAATGAAAGTGCCCAGAGTTCGGAGAGTCACCCACTCCCAGTGGAGGCTTAAGGGTAAATGCAGCTCCAGAGTAAATAACAACAGCACAGAAAACTATGAGGAGCAAGCTGAGTTGGAGCAAGGAGGATTTAGAAAAGTCATGGGAAGAGAGTGATTTCTGAACTGGGACTTGATGGAATGGCAAAAAACGTGGGAGTAGTACACAGTCCCATTGTTGCAGGCCCAGAGAGCACAGGCTGGAGAGAAAGCTGAGACCAGATCATGATAAGCCTGGAGTGCCCAGATGAGGAACGCGTTCTTTTTAAAAATATGTCTTTCTTTATTTGTGATAAGGCATGAGTGCATGGGTGGATGTGAATGAGAAAGAGATAAGCACCTCTACAGGGTCTGGTCACACTGCAATCCCTTCCTCCAGTCTGTCATAGTCCATCAGATCCTGGGCCCTTGGGCACACGCTGGCATGCTTCACGCTGACCGAGCCTGGGATTCGACTCTCAGTTGCCATGTGGGATCTGTCTGCCCTTGAGCAATGCATTACCACCGTGGCACAGTCACCCCAACACATTATTAATTCGGTGGGAGCGACTGAAAACTTAAACAAGAAGGAATTGTCCTACAATATTATTCTTCCCTGCCTCTTTAGTAACATAAACCCCAGTTTGTAACTGGATGCATGACTATGCAAATATATAAAACAAAGATTATATTTCATAACTTCTCTTGCAGCTAGGTGTGGTCATTTGACTAAATTCTTTTTTTTTTTTTCCCTCCAGAGGGCACATATGCTTGCCAGAGAGACACAGAGAGATAGGGGAGAGAGAGAAAAATCATCCCCCATGAGGAATGGTCATGCTGCAATCGCTTTTCCTCATCTCTCCATCTTGTTGGGATTTGGAGTATGCACACACATGCACCTGACGTGTTTTTCAAACTACCGGGTCCAGGAGTCCAATCCCAGAATTGGCCATGTGGGATCCAGTCACCTTAACCACCACACCATCAGCTAGCCCCAATTCTTTTAATAAAATATAAGGGAAATAATGTGTATGACTTTTAAGAAGTGTTCTTAAAGGGAGAAAGCATGCTCTCATTGCTCTTTTTGATTTTCCTGTTGGATGGAAGGTGAATATAATCCTAACACGTGTATTATTCATTAGGCAGGTTAGCCTGGGGCAAGCAAAATGCAGGACAGTTGGAACAAGAGGAGCACAGAAGTGGGAAGACTAATTAGGAGAACATTTCAATAGCCCAGAGAGGAAGTGAGGAAATAAGAACCAAGCCAGTAAGGCAGCAGTGGGCATGGATGGGAGGGGTGCATGTGATCAATATTGCAAAAGGAGTGTCTATGGGTCTTGGCAACTGATCAGATGAGAGAAGACACTAGATAGGGAAGAATCAAAGGTCACTTCTGGAGTTTCACACAGAGGTGACAGAGACATCATTGATGTTTTTAGTAGAAACAGGAGGGTGAGAAGGATGAACAGGCTTGAGAGAGGCCACCTTGAGTTGGTTTTGAACATGTTAAGTTAGGACTGCAGGACATCCAGGTGGAGATTTAGATTTAAAGCAGGCAACTGGGAATTCAGTTCTGGAGCCTGACTTGAGACTCTTTTGCATAAAAGTGGTAGCCAATATAAAGGGAGAGGCTGGCTGGTAAAACAGAGAGTATATCTGTAGGAATTACTCTTTCTTCAGTGTATATAGAGAAATAAACTGCATCCTAGAAAACTAGATAAAAAACAGCTCCTCACCTGACAGGTACCTCTTCCCTTCTATAAAAACATCTCCATAAACTCCAGCCAATAACAGGCCAGCTTCAAGAAATCCTCACATCTCAAAATTTGAACAGCTCCCAGCTCCTTAAAGCTTCTTAGGAAGGCATTTTGATTTGCACAAGTATCTGTCATGACATGTTATGACTTTTTTTCAGCAAAGAAATCCACAGTAAATTGTTTTCCTCAATTCAGGTTGGCCACATATAAGAAAGTCTTTGACAAAAGTCTTAAAAGAACAATTTCTTTCAAACCCAGAATGAGAAAATATGAGGCAGAAGGAGTCTTCCAAAAGCCCATGGAAAATTATGAAAAAACTATGCAAAGATTTCTAAATTTTTTGCATCGAATAAACATATACTTTAATTTCATTTTCCATGAGCTGTTTGAGTACTGTCATACTAAAATACAGTAAATGTGACACAATGAACGGACTCTGAAGAGGTTTCCCTTGTATTTGCCGTAGTCAAAGGCAGATATTAAATCAAGTAAGAAATTTTAAAAGCATTCAATAGATCCTTAACTATAAGGAACCACCTTTCAGACTGGCCAGACCGCTGCGCTGTTTTCGCGCCAAGACTGAGGCCAGGATGCAAGTGGTTAAAATCCAGTGGCGTGTATGTTTCAGCTGAGGTTACGTGGCAGAAACGCAACTGGAAGCAATGGCGTTGAGATCTCTGTTTCTTCTGGAAGAGTTTTGTGCCTTCAGCTCGCACACCGCAGACAGCTGTCCCGCCACGCAGGTCTCACCAGGGCGGCCCCAAACCATGAGCCTTGGTGCGAGTGGCGTGTTCCGTCTTTGCGGGGTTTGGAACCACGGGGACTCGCCTTCCACGCGTGGATGAAGCTTTGTGAGAGCCCGTAAGAAGCGCGTAAAAGGCTTCTCCCATTCATTCATCCTTCCACCCCTCCCTCCTTTGTCTCAGGGCCTGAGCCTGTGCGGGGCCCCAGCGTGTGCCTTACAGTACGAAACCACGCAGCGCCCCTGGAGGAAAGGATTTTATGCAGGAGGAAGACACCGCGGCGGGTGGACCACCCTGGTTCCTCTCACCTCCGGCGAGATATCGGGCAGTTCAGAGGGCGAAAGCACCAACCCTGGAGGGAACGCCTCCCCTCCCGGGTCCCCAGGACCTCGAATGCCGAAGCGTTCCACATTCTCCCCGACCCTCTGACCCCGCGGGCCCAGACCTCGGCTGGCGCGGGCGGGTGCCAGTGAACCCCGGCCTTCCGCCAGGCCGTGCCTCCCCGCGGTCACCGGAGCCGGCCTCAGTCCGCTGAGTTGCGAGGCGGCTGCCAGCGCCCATTGGTCAACGCGGCTCGCGCCTCTCCAGGCCTTGGCAGAGACTTCGCCCCTCCCCCTGGCTACTAAGGCGACCGCAGCCTCCGAGCTCTGATTGGCCGGAGCCGTGGGGGCGGTGCCGCGAGCGCGAAGCCGCCTCTTCCTGCTCGCTCGCTAGCTTGCTCTTTCCAGACAGCGTGCTTCTGCTCAGCCCAGGCGTTGCATCATCTCTTGCGGGCGTCTATTCTGGAAGGCTGGGCGCGCCGTGATCCGCTGCACCGGGTCGCAGCCTACACTCCCGCGCTCGTCCTTCCGCACCTATTCCTGGTCTAGAAGACTCCGGGGAGAGACTCCTACCAGTTGTGGTACCCAGCGGTCTGACCTCACTAGCTCCGCCAGATTCATTCATTCATTGGGAGCCCGTCTTTTCCAAGATCCCAAGTCCGTTGGCTCCTCCAGCTTGGAGCGGCGGGCAGCGCCATGGAGAAGAGCAGCGAGACCAACGGCTACCTCGAGAGCACCCAGTCCGGGCCTGCGGCGGGGCCCGGCGCGTCTGACACCGCGAAGGGACCCGTTCGTCGCTGCATTGCCTTCCTGCGGCGCCAGGCGCTGGGGCTGCTCACCGTGTCGGGGGTGGTGGTGA